AGAACATGTGATTATATAAAGGTAAATAAGCCACGCGAGGCAGGCAAATAAAACAAATAAACAGAAGTCGCGTGACCCAGAGATATTACTTGCCGTCATATCATCCCTCCGTTTAGGTCTGGCTGCTCTCAGCCAGAGGTAAGTCATCTTCTTCATAGTCCGGTGTAAATTCATCGGCCTCTGCAGCCGCTAACCATTGCGGGAGGCGCTTAGGGGGTCTGGAACAGATAAGATATTTTATATGATAATCTTAGAAATGGAAGAAGGTATTCTTGAAGTTCCCTGCTAGATACTAAGTATGATTGGCTATATCAGATGCCAGCTATTTAATTCTATACTGAAGATGACTGTATTACAGATAGCTGGCTAGAATATTCTTAATCTCTTATTTTATCTGATTATTAACTTTAATGGATATGGCAGCGTCTTGGATCTGTCCTGGTAATAGATTAAATATATTATATAGATAGAGCTTTTCAGAATAGAAAACAGGGTATACACATATATCTTCAGAAAGATGAATCTTGTAGATATTACTGATCTTATTAATAATAAATACAGAACTATACCAGCTTTCTAATAGCTTTCGTGAGGGCTGGCCTCATTTCCAGTTATAGATATTAATAAAAACTTTATTACTGATATTGAAATTAACAGAATAGTAAGACTGGTTAGTTTACTATATCTACCAGCCCTGTGCTTCCTGGATTTTATCTTATATAAAAATCTAGATCTATTCTATATAGTAAGTGAACTCACGGGCTTAATCTCGGGTGATGGTATATAATAGTAGATCTGCTAGAAAAGTCCAGTTAAATAATATTTAAAGTTTATATTCTTTTTTAATCATAAATAGAGATAATCTGGTAGATTTATGGGGCAGAGCCGTGACAGCAAAATTTATAAATAATAATAGTTCTGACCAGTTATCCTAGAAGTGATTAATAAATAGAATAAGTTGCTGGACTGTATATTAGTTAATAATTTTTATTTATCCATCAGTCTGCGGATGGTATGCTGTTAAAAACTTTAATTTAATCTATAAAATTTAACATAATTTATTCTAAAAGTCAGCTATGAGTTAATCTTCTCAGTCAGAGATAATGGTGTTAAGGAGCCCTGTCTAGATATAAACTTAATTAATAAATAGATAGACTATGTTTTGTATAGAGATCTGCTTTGTACAGGAGATAAATACTATATATTTACTAAAATAGTTTACTACTATAAAGACAGTATTAAATCTGTGACAGTTCTTCAGGAAGAAATAGAAGTTTATAAATATATATTATCATAGCTAATCAGGGATCAGAAGAGGTTAGAGTAGTCCAGGTAATAAATCTTAATATATATTTTTTTTTTTATAAATTAAGTAATTATTTATATAATATCAGATATCTCTGTTCTAAGTACTCTAGAAGTATTATTACTTAACTAATACTATTATCTTAGTTCACCTAGGGTAAGCTAGTAATAACTATCAGTAAATCTTATTCAGAAGCTGGGCCCGTAGATTATCTTTATTAAAGATTATTAGTTTATTTTAATATAGAAACAGTTTATTTTGCAGGAAGTAGTCAGTCTCTTACTAGCAGGCTTGCTTCTAGAGATTTTCTAAGAAAGAATAAATATAGTTTACTTCTAGAATATAATCTATAATATAGAGATTTTACTTTACAGAAGCTACTAATACTAGATTAGAAGTTATATCAGATTCTAGAGACTTAGGCTTTAGCAGTACTTAGTAGTAATAATTACTGGCTATTTCTAAGTTAGTCTTCTTCTGTATAAGATAATCAGCTAATATATTATTTTTTTCTAATTAATATTTAATAATAAAGTGGTATTAGGACAGTATCTCTATCTAGTAAGCCTGCCGGGTGTTGAGCTTTTTAATAATTATAAAGTATTCCAGGACTTGGTAATCTATAAAGATTATAAATTTCTTTAATTATTATAGATCTTCCAGTTCTGCTCTCTATTCCATAAGAGTATATATAATAGCCAGTATTTTCTTATCATGAATATCATAGTTATACTTAAATAGAGATATAGTCTTTAAGTAATAAATTATAAGGTACTATATATTCTTGACCTGCTGGTAAAGAACTTCTGTGATTACTTTATTAGCTGTATCAGTTTTAATACATGTAAATCTAGAAAAATTATAATAGACTAGTACAGGAGCTGATGTTAGAGCCTGCTTCAGAATCTGGAAGACTGTCTCACAGAACTGGTCCCAGATAAATGGGATATTCTTCTAGATAAGCTGATTCATGGATTTAGTAATCCAGCTATAATTTCTTATAAAATACTGGTAAAAGTTACAGAATCTGAGAAATAATTATATTTCTTTGACAATAGTCAGGTGCTGTTATTTTATAATTACAGCAGTTTTTACAGGATTAATCTAAATGTCTGTAGTAGTAATAATAAAATCTAGAAATCTAGTTTTTATCACATAGAACTTGTATTTATGGATTACTGCTTAGAGTCTGACTATCTAAAGATATTTAAGGATCTGGTAGATATAAAGCTTGTGTTCTATCTTATTTTTATTAAAGATTAATATATTATTTATATATACTATAATAAACTTGTCCAAGAAGTCTATAAGAATCTTATTAATAAGATGCTGAAAGACTGCTAGTCTATTTATAAATCTGAATAGTAGTACTCAATACTTAAAGATTTCATAGCAGATTTAGAAAGTAGTTAAGTCTTCGGATTTAGAATCTATATAAATACAGTAGAAATCTTAGTAAATATTAAACTTTATAAATATCTTTATATTCCAGAGGCGGTCTATTATTTTATTAATTAAAAAAATAGAATAAGAATTCTTGCAGGTTAGAATATTAAGCTTCTAGTAATTAATACACAGGTATAGTTTTTCTCTGGGTTTTTTTATTATCAGGATAAAAGAGATAAACAGGGCTGTATTAGGTATAATAAATCCTTTTTTAAGGTTCTTAATAATATAATCACAGGCGGCTTCGAGTTCTTCTAGGGTTATTTTATAAAGGAAGGCTGTTTTTAATAGATTACTTTTTTTTAATTAGATGTGGTAATCATGTGGTCAGAAGATAGATAAAATATTTAACTTTTTTTTAAAGAAGATATCTACTAGATTATAATAGTACTTAAAAAAAGTTTGTTTTATTTCCTCTTTTTCAGTCAGCTTAGATATTTCATGATAAAGATCTGTCTTTTCTATGATAGCCTTCTCAATCATACTCAGGAATGTGATGAATATTTCTAATTTAGAATTCTGAAGATATTTATAGAAGGTGGCGGCCCTGATAAAAGCTATCTTAATTTTTTTAAAAATATTTCTTCTCTGGAGGCTCCGGGAGACTTTAGGAATTTAATATTAAAAGCTCTGGTCTATTAGATTTTAGTATATCTTAGCTAAGGTCTCCTGTAGAATACTTTAGTGGGTTCAGGATATTTCAGGCTTTGCTTTAGGAGAGGATGTCTGTAGTAGAGTATTAATTATTTTTTAAAAATTATAATCTTATCAGGTAGTATCTTACTAGTAACTCTAATTAATTAAATACTGTAATAGGATATCCCGGGAAATTTATTATAGTAGTCTAGTCTTGACTTCATCTTATAAGAAAAAATAGTCAGGTTATACTAGTTTGTTTTACTAGTAATCTAATAAGATTTCTTGTTTTATAAATTATATTTATTCCAGGATAATATTATGGCAGCTTAATTTAAGTATCAGAAATAGTATGCTACAGAACTGGTATCTGTTGACTATAAGTATAAGTTAGATAATATAGATTAGAGATATTATAATCTTGTTATTAAAGCCTGTAACAGTACAGTTAGTCTTAAGAAGGATAGTATTAATTTAGAATCAGTAGATTATCTAAATAGTAAAGATAGTATTTATATAAATATAAGTATTAACTTTAGTGTTAGTAAGAGTACATGCAGATACTGCTAGTCTATTATTTAATATTAGAGTTTTAATAGTAAAGCTTTTATTCTCTTGGCCTAGCAGATCTTGTAAATCTAATAAAATAATATTAATATTTATTTTATTTAAAAAGAAGACTTTTTTTAGATACTGTTTTTTATTAAATTACTATTCTCTACTGTCTTTAATAGCTTGACTTAATCTACTTTTTTCTTTGGATAGTCCCGGGCTAAGTATTTCTGTTCCTGGCAGATGAAGTAGTATTCTTTAGTTATTATATAAGTATATTTCTCTGGCTTTATGCTGGTAGTGCGGCTGGTATTACAGAAAGTCTTGGCTGGAGTGGAAGAGGTTATGATTATAATAATAATAATAATTAATATAGGTAGCTGGTGATTTGGGGTGCTTATCTTATTATAGTATTTTATTATATTATTAATTAAGTCTAATAATCAGGCATACTTCTTGATATACTGTTTGAATATTATATTATTATTATTAAAGCGGGATATGATCAGCTCCTGTAACTTAGATAAAAAGTATTAATAAAAATTTTTTTTTTAATAAACTTTAGTAATATTTATTTTTATAGTAAGATAGCAGAATATAGACATAAAACTGTAAAATTTATTATTAATTATTATTTTAAGCTTTTGATACTGTCAGTGCATATTATAAGACTTATTTAGATTAGTATAAATGATTTTTAGATATTTAAGCATGTCAGTCATGTCTGTATAGGGATTTAGAGTATTAGAATAGAGTTAGAGAATTAAATATTTCTTAGTATTATTTTTATAATAGCTGGTTATATAAGCTTATCAGATAGCAGTTATACTCAGGTAGTCTGTATTAGCTTTTAATTTTTATTATATTATAAGAAGCTAGTCTTCAAAGCTGATAGTCTTGCTATTATTGAACAGAGATAGATTAAAAATCTTTATTAATTTCTTAGATTCAGAGGCTTTAGCTACTTGGCTGTTTTAATTATTAAATTAAAAAAGCTGGATAGTATACAGATTATATTTATATATTAATTTATTATAGTTATTATTAAGCTTATCCTGCTAGCAGACAGTCTTTTATATTTTTATTTCTACTTCTTCTATAATATAAAGAATTATATTAAAGGTTTTATCAGGATTTTTTATATATAATTCATGGAACTGGTTATAAATAATATTTTTTTTATTATTAGACTCTTCTCCCAGCAGGGTTATTAAATATTATTAAGGATTTATAATACTCAGTACTGATTTAGTATAGTTTTTTCTGGCTATTATAAGTATTCTTACTAATTATTCTAGTTTAAATCTTAGTTGGGTTATTTTGTTTTGGCCGTGTTTAATATTATTAAATATATATAAGAAATGATATCAGCTGCCGAGCTAGGTAGCTAGCGGTGTATAATATTAACTTAAGAAATAAAAGATAGAATAATACTAGAAATTATATGGAAGCTGATTAAATAGTTAAATTTAATATTATCTAACAAGAATTTCTAGTATGAGGAAAGAAAGGAAGAAGCTTAGGAAGAATATATAATTATATAAAGATAAGTAAGTTATGCGAGACAGGTAAACAAAATAAATAAACAGAAGTCATGTGATCCAGAGATATCACTTACTGTTATATCATCTCCCTGTTTAGATCTGGCTGCCCTCAGCCAG